TTTTATACTTGGTAAATTTAAACCACAAATGTAGATCTGGTAGAATTAACTTGCATTTCTAGCTTAGAAAATGGAACATTTTTAAAGAAAAAATTAATACGAAACTTGAATAAGAAAAATAGATGAACTAGAGGGACACATATAAACTACACATTGCAGGATTCAATATACTTGTGTGAGGGCAAGGTAGCACTAAAGAAACATAGGCTAAAGAAAGGGGCTGATGCTTTTTAAAACATTGTGACTCCTGTGTCTTGTATTTCCTTTGTATAATAAATTACCAGAAACTTGGCAATTGAGAAGTAACATGCCCTTTCATTCCTTCTGTGACAGATTATCAGTTCTGCTGCTCAGAGAATCACATGCTGTAATCAGTTTGTCAGTAGGGCTTCTCGCCTTCATATAGTTTAAACTTCTCTTCCAAGTTCATTTGCTTCTTGGAAAAATTTAATTCCTATATTGTAGAACTAAATCCCTTTCTTTGTTGCAAGTTGCTAGCTAGGGACAGTTCTCAAATTTCAGATTTCCATGTAGTCCATTCACAATATGTTAACTACTTTATCAAAGTCAGCAGGAGACTTTCCCCCTCTCTCAGCCCTTCTTTGAAGGGGCTTACCTGATTAGACCAATCAGGGAAATCTTAAAGTGACTTGATTAGGGATCCTAATTACATTCATAGAATCCCTTTTTATATAATGGTAGGTAATCATTGTGTTAGCCCATATTAGAATCCAACCACATTTAAGGGGAGATAGTATACCAGGACCTGGGCCATTGGTGGTCACCTGAGAATTGTGTTTACCTCATGACTTATTATTGAGAATAAATTCTTCAGTGTAAATGTGTTTCTTTCTCCTTAAAGTTGCTTGAATGATTCTTTCCTTTCTAAGGACATGTATTTCTGTAATGTTGTATTTAAAATTTAAAGACTTGATACATGAAATACATACATATAGATGAGGTGCCATGTGATATTTCAATACATGTAGTATTTGTCTCCATAAACAATTATCATTTTGTTATTGAGGACACATTCAAATCCTGTCTTCTAACTTTTTGACATATTCAACACATATTTTTATTTATAGTCTCCTTACTGTGCACACAAGAGTGTCCTACTCTTATCCAAGTACAAGTTACTGATCTCTTCCTACCCATCCTTGCAGCCTTTGGTAACACCAGTCTACTCTCACCTTCTGTGAGATCAACTTTTATAGATACTACGTGTAAATAACATCATATGGTACTTTCTTTGTATTTCATAATTCTAAAAATGTTGGTGTATTTCACATAGTACAATGCTTTTCAGTCCATTCTAGTGTTAGGTTTAAAGACTTAGTAAATAATATCTAGGTTTAAATTTTGTATAGTGTTCTAGCATATAACTTTTGGTTAGAAATAATTGACTAAAAAGAAATCTGAACAAATCCAGTATTTACTTTCATTGAAGTCTTTTTAAATTGAAATAGACTTCTAGAAGTCTATGGAAAGACTACAGTGTTGGAAAATAGAAACAGGAGAACATATCATACAGAATACATATCATACAGAATACTTTCACATCAAATAGAAGATTAATGTTCTTTAACTAATTGGAATGAAAAAGTAATTATGCCTAAATACAAACTAAAGTTTCTGAGAGTGATTATAGGAATGGTAGCTCTATACACTAAACAAAATGAATTAATTAATTCTGTCTTGACATGTCTTAGACTATAGGATAGCATTTACTACAAAATAACAATATCACCAATAATACTTAAAACTTAAAATCTACCAAGAGCAATCACAGATATTCTTAAAATTCTGTCTTCCAAACTGCCTTTGTTAGGTAGGCAAGAATCATCTTTTTTTTAAAATGTGGAAACAAAACCACATGCCTGCCTAAGGATCAGCTAGTAAACAATAGATCTAGCGAACTATAGCCCAGAAATTATGATCCTCGATCTGTGTTTTACTACTTCTGTTTTAAATATGACATAAATTGGTAAGCCTTTTATTTGAGTTGGAATGATAATAGTAGACAAAAGGGAACTATGTTACTGATTAAAAAGAAAACTAATAACTAATCATTTTAAGTATAATCTTACTAATAGATTTTATAGCAAATTAACATTTTTGTGGTCATCCACAAAAGTAGTCTTAGCAGATAAAAATTACCTGTTCTTCTTTCTCACTGATAGCATTTCTCAAGTAAGAAATGAGTTTTTAAATTAAGAGAACTTAGTACCATTCATGCCACAAATAATTAATTTTGAAATTTGTAAGTCTTATATGTAAATCATTGTTTTTAGATATTATGGTGAACACATAGGGAAACTAAAGCATAACCGTTTCTTCAAAATTTATTACATTTTTGCTGAAGAATAGGAGAAATAAAGAACAAAGATGGCCTTGTGAAGGAGAAAATATAATTTCTTTTTAAGAGTGAGAGATATTTCAGCAAGAGGAGACACGATAGAATCACTACTTTATAGAAGGCAGGCAGTTTTGACTTCTTATGCTGTCACATTGGGAAACCAATTGAAGCTAAGTCTTAGAAAGCTCTATTATTCCCAAACATCTGAGATTTGTTCTCTTGGGTAATAGGTCATTTTTGTTTAAGACAATGTTAGAAACTGAAGGAAAGTTTGAGGGAAGAGGAGGTTCTTGTAATAGTTTAAGTGAGCTGAGACTTTATTATGACCATGGCAGAAAGAAATGAATATATATGGCATGATTTATGGAACCTGACAATTGATTGGATTGAGAGAATTAACAAATAGCGAGGAGAGTGTTTTAAGCTTGAATTACACCAGCAACATTTTCATATTTAAGGAAACTGCATTTTCTTTTAAATATTAATTATTTCATACCTTTTGGACAATAATATTGTTCCAGTATCCCGATAATATTGAGATCGTTTTCTATAAGTTGTGTTTATGTGTATAGTCTTAGTTCCTAAGAAACATCCTATTATGTGTATAGTCTTAGTTCCTAAGAAATATCCTATATTATATATTACTGTATACTTGAGCTACATCTTTTGCTATTTCTAATTTAAACTCATTACAAAAAGATTTTTCCCTCTGAGGACTTTCAGTATCATTTTGTCTAATTGTTCCTTATGCTGCTCTCTCATATTATACGCTCCTTTAGAATGATAAAATAATAGTATAGTTAGGTATCCTCTTAAGGTACTTGGAGTTGTTATACTAGTACAATTTGGTGACATTCTGCTGAAACTAAATTGATGAACAGGAGATGGTTTTATTAATAATCCTTCAAAAAAGCATTCCTTGTGTGCTGTTTAGCAAAATATTTAGGTTATTAAAAATTCAAGTGGTAGGAGTTTAGTGCATTTCTACCTCAGTATTACAATCACAGCTTGTGAACTATCAATCAAGTACATAAAACTGAGTGAGTTTGTTTGCCATGCTATTTATTTGAACTAAATCCCTAACAAGCCTCGTCTGCTAATTGGACTTAACATTTATGTTGCTAAATGAGAAGCATTTTGGCTGCTCTGTAATGTAGTAAGTCCTACCCAGTGGAATAAACAAGTAACATCTGTTACCCTGTCCTGCTCCAGCTTGGCTTTTACCAAGTAAAGTACATCAGCCCTGAAGTCAAAGTTATCAAATATGTGAATCTTTGGCTCACTATCTATATGTGAAGACAAAGAAATAGTGCATCATGAATAAAGACTAGCCAAGCAAAAGACATGGAATACAGCTGGTTCTTTTTGTTTTAACTTAAAAAAATTTATGAACTTAAGCAAAACCTAGTAGAGGTTAGAATTTTTGTAAAGTTTTTACTTCACTTTTTTATTGCTATTGTTACATGAATCAGGTAGTAAGTAATGAGTACAATTCTTTTTTTTTTTTTTTTGGTCGGTCATGGGACTTGAACTCTGGTCCTGAGCGCTGTCCTTTAGCTCTTCAGCTCAAGGCTAGCGCTCTACCACTTGAACTACAGCTCCACTGTACAATTCGTTTTGAACCATGTATCTCCTTCCATCACTCCCTCTCAGGCCTTCCCTCTTGTTCCCACCCATAAGATATCTAGTTCGTTTTCCACATAATGTCTAGTGAGTATCGGTGTTGTATTTGTTCATCCCTGTTTTACCTTCAATATGCCCTCCCATATCCTATCCAAGCAAAACGAAAAGAAAACAAAATTAGCAAAGGCTCAAATAGCCATGTACATATATGATCATATGCTATGAAATGAACTCCAAGAAAAGGAAACGAGAGATTCTTTAGTTGTAAAGGATTTTTATACTATTTCTTTTTTAAAATTTTGTTTTACTGGAAAGATGCTGTACCAAGGGGTTACAGTTACATGAGTAAGGAAATGAGTACATTTCTTGTCAAGCATTGTTACCCCCTTCTTTGTTGTTCTCCCACTATTCCTTCCCTCCTCCACCTCCCTCATGTTGTAAAGTTCATTTCCAACATAGTGTCTTGTATCATTGTTGCAATGGGTCATCCTGTGTCCTTGTTTCAGTGTTTTGTTATTCCCCTTCCCTTTCCCAAATTAGATCAGTGTATATACAAGGTGCAGGGTACCAAAATCACATACCATGACAACCGGGGCTATACCATAGGGGGAAGAATATACAAAGGAAACAAAAAAAATCACATAATACATTAAAAACAACAACAAAGTAAAACCTCTTGTGTCCATATTTTGGGGTTCATTTTGCTTAGTATCATCTTATATGGTCATATATACATAGCTTTTGAGCCTTTCTGTTCATCTGATAAAATGATCCTAGACATATACTAATTATTCCAAATGAGGGAAACGTTGGGACCTATATTTCTCTGGATCTGGCTTACTTCACTTAATATGATTTTTTTCCAAGTCTTTCCATGATACTATTTCTATACTGAATTTTGTTTAGTATATCCCTGCCTATAGAATTATATGCTGACAGTTTTTAAATTAATAGTAATTACATTTAATTTACATTTAATGTCATTACATGTAATATTTTTATTTCTTTTTTTTTCAAGAAACTAAATGTGGATTTGTGTGGGCTTCGAAAAGAAAAAGAAGATTTATTGAAGAAATTGGAATCCTCGTCTGAAGTCACAAGTTTGGGAGAAGTTTCCCGAGTAGCCGCTCCACAGATACATGTTACATCACTAGCTTCTTCAAAAAGCATGGATTTGGAACTGAAGCAATTGCAATGTAAATTAAAGGTGATGATAAAGTATATCAAGCATGAAAAGATATGTTAAGTTGCTGTGTCTTTAAAGACATTTTATATGAACTCTAGTTTATTCTAACAAAGGTATAATATAATATACATGATCCAAAAATATAAATACTACATTTGACTTCATAATTCATTTTTAGCTTAATAAATTCCTGTTACACTGATGTTCTCTGGCTGGAAGAAATTATCCAACACAATGAAATCCTAACATAGTAACAAATGGGAACAGGCTGTTGTCTTCTCCCTATCCTTAATTTTTTTATCCACATGAAAAAAGTACTTCCAAACATACTGAATCAACACAAATAGAATAATTTTCTACACACTTACTACTTGTTTAGTTTGTTTTTCATTGTAGTCAGAAAAGGAGAAGGGAAGTGGGAAAGGGAGAAGCAGCAGATATCAAAGATGGACAGGTTTGATTTTAGCAAGTTGAACCTGTGAGTGAGAATAAAAGTAGTGTTTTCATTTTTGTTATTGTTTATAAATAATTATATCTAATGAAGGTAAAACTGAACAGCTGAAATAGACAAAGTCTCATAAGAAACAGGATCCATGCATTTCAGATGAGCAAGTTTGTTTTCATGCTGCTGCTTAAAACAATCTCATTTTTTTCACATTTAATAATTTTCTTCAGTTGAAGGTTGCTTGGTGGAAGCTATCAATAGGACTATAGTCATAATGAGAGTCATTAGAAAGGAAAATGTGATTGTAAATGCAGAGTGAGATCTAAATGACATAATTAATAATTATGAGAGTTAAAGGGTTTTAGAATATTGAATTGTCATATAGACTTAGCTAATATTACAAAAATTATGATTACAAATGGGTAAAATTTAAAATAGGTGATTATGTCATTCTTGAAAACATTTGGCTCTATTATTAATAGTTTAAAAAATGTCATTAACTGAGATACTTATTGTTTTATTTTTTTCTTTCTTTATTTTGAGACAAGGTCTCACTTTGTAGCTCAGGTTACCTGGAACTTACTGTGAAGCTCGCCCTAGCCTCTTGAACCAATAATCTTTTTGCTCCACCCTCCCAAATGCTGGAATAATAGAATGAAAAATAGGGATTTATGCATACTAGGCAAACATTCTAGCACTAAGCAACATCCCTACCATGAGATGCTTGTTTGTTTCTTGTTTGTTAGTGCCTGTACTAAGGCTCAACTACAGTCCTCATGTACCCCCTTTACTTACCCTTTACTTACTACTTGAGCTATGCCTCCAGGCCAACATTTTGCTGATTAAGATGGAGTCTCCGCAGACTTTTCTACCTGAACTGGCTTCTAACCATGATTCTCTAGGTGTCAGCTTCCTGTGTAACTAAGATTATAGACTAGTACCACTGGTAACCAGCTTTAGTTTTTTGAGATGACATCTCATAGTTAGCCTAGCACAATGATGAATAATTATAATTCTAACAAAAGGAACAATCCAGAGGGAATTTAATGTTTTTTTTCCATTTCCTGGAGTTCAATAAGCATGAATGATTAAGAAAAATATTCTGTTACTTGAAAAATTCACTAAGATTGTAGAATCTTTGATAATGCTAGAATAGGACATATAAAATATTGTGAAATTTTATACCATATTGAACATATACAATCAAAATTTGTAATATTCAAAAGTAGTCATATTGAGTTGGGTGCTAGTGGCTCATGCCTGTAATCCTAGCAACTCAGGAGGCTGAGATCTGAGGATTATAGTTCAAAGCCAACCCAAGCAAGAAAGTCTTTGAGACCCTAATCTCCAATTAAACAACCAAAAGTTGAAAGTAGAATAGTAACTTAAGAGTACTAAGCTTGAGCACAGAATCCTAGAGATGGTGCTCAGACCCTTGAGTTCAACTCCTAGAATTGGCACCAAAGGAAACAAAAATCATGTTGAGGTAGTTCTTAAAGAAATTAATATTAGATTTCATGGAAAATTAAAAATCTTGCAATTTTAAATTTGCATGACTATACCAGTTAGACACTTAAAGGTGACCTTGTATGATTAATGATTTCATCTCTTAATATTCATAAATTCAGCACAATTAAATATTATGCTAAAGAAATTCACAATACTCCTTATAGTATAGAAAGATTAGTGAAATAATTTCTTCAACTATATTGAGTTAAATTTTATTCTATGTATGTTAGTTTAATGCTTGTTAAAGCTAACAAATGCATTAATGTATGCAAACAGTATCTTTATTGTCTTTTATTGCAAAGGTGATGTACAGAGTGGTTACAGTTACGTAGGTGAAGTAATGAGTACATTTCTTTCTGAATATTGTCACCTCTTCCCTCATTTTCTCCCAGTTTTTTACTCCAGACTCCCTTCCCCCACAATTTGTATAATTCCTTTTAGTGTTTAATGAGTACCTCTGCTATATTTGTTCATGTTTTATCCCACCATTTCTGTGCTCCCCCTTACCCTCCCTACAATAGATAAACTTACATACAAGGCAAAAAGTACAGAAATAAAAAACAGCAGCAAAAAGGGTGGGAGGGGTAAAATAACAAAAAAACCCTTTGATTCTATTTCTCAGAGTTAATTTCAATAAACATCATTTTATATGATCATAGGCACATAGCTATTGAGTCTTTGTGATCCTCTCCTAAGAATATCCTCCTTTGGTCTCACTGTGAATGTTTAGAGTCCTGTTCAATTTATCATGTCCAAGGGTAATTTTTTTCTTTTACCATACATTGTGTTTATTAATAGATTTATAGGTACATTCTAATTACTATATATGAGGAAAACCATGCAACCTATGTTTCTTGGGATCTGTCTTACTTTGCTAAATGTAAATTTTTCCAATATCATTTCCAATATCATTCTTTTCTGATTAAAGAATAGAATTCTATTGTGCATATATACCACATTTTCTTTATCTATTGATTCAATGAGGGACATCTAGACTGATTCCATATCTTGTCTATGAGACACTTCTGCAGTGAACATGGTAGTGCTGGTAGCTTGAGTGTGGTCTGCTTTGTGGTCAAGTGGAAAAATGCCAGTCTTTTAAGGAACCTCCATACTGCTTTCCAGAATGGTTGAACAAATTTACATTCCCACTAATAGTGTTCCCCTTTGGCCACATCCTCGCCAGCATCTGTTACTACTTGATAATGCCATTCTAACTAGGTCTCAATGTTTTGATTTGCATTTCTTTTATGGCCAGAGATCAAACAATAACTTACAGATTATATATACATATATATATCTGCATAACTTTAACTGGAACTTGAATCAAAGTTGAAAGTCAGGTATTTAACATTATAGTTACCTCTGGCTTCTATGTGGTGCAGACAATAAATACCACAAAGTGCTTTTTCCAAATATAGTAATTACGTATAAATACTTAATTAGTGTTGTTAATAGGTTCAAGTGATGAAGTGCTTAGTATTCATATAATTCTCTATCACTCATCTGTTGTTTGCTATAAACTATCCTAAAATATCATAACTTAAAGCAATAACAGCAATTTATTATTTATATTATTATTTCTTTTGCTATTTTCTTCTGAGTTCTCTCAGATGTCTGCATTCTTCTAAACCAAGAGAATCTTTACCTGACTGTAAGGTCCAAAATGGCTCTCATTCACATGGCTGCTAATTGTCTGCTAGCACTATTCCTCATGACATTTCTTTCAGTCGTTTTCACTGCAAGGTGATCTCAGCAAAGCATTCCATGAATACAAAAGGTAAATCACAATGCTTTAAGGTGCAGGATTTGAAACTTACATGATGTCTTTTTTGCCACATTTTTTTCAGTGAAAGTAAATCCCAGACCAGACTAGATTCAGAGAGGGTGAGAAAGGGAATTTGCCACTTGATGGAAGGAGCAGCAAATTATTTGTTATCATAGGCAGTTAATTGTAGTTTATTTGTAAATCTAGCATTCATTGTAGGATGAATCTTACTGGACCATTAAGATTTTTAATTACTCATATACTTACATTTTGTTAAAACCATTCAGATTTCTGAAAAGTATATTTGGAGTATGTACTATGCAACTGTAATTTGATACAATTCCACTATAAAAAATTTTGTATTGGCTACATTATTTCTGAGTATATAAAATAGAAAATGTTCATTTTATTTTTTTGCCGAAATTATATTTCCTTTTCTTAAAATAGTATTTCTTTTGTTTTATATCAAGATTAAAAGGCATGTTGAAATTTATATGTTTTTAATCTAGAATGCAACTAATGAACTCACTAAACAGTCATCAAATACGAAGTCTCTGAAATTTGAACTCCTAGCAAAAGAAGAACACATAAAGGAAATGCATGAAAAGTATGTTTTTCATATTTCTCTCCATTGTATTTGGTGCCACCTAGTGGTAGTTAAATCTGGCAGTCAAATCTATTAAACATTGCACCCCAAGAAACAATGCCAATCACTTATAATGAGATTTTACTGAGTTCATGTTCAATCCTACATAAAATGGAATTTTAAACAATACTACAGGTAAGTATGATTACTGTGTCACTGTTGTGACAATCAGGTTACTATTTTTAATTAAGGTAAGAATATTTAAAGTTAGATTTCTCTTATTAATCATTTGACTTGAGTAAGTATAAATTAATAGCTTCAAGACTGAATAGAAAAACTTTAAAATGTGTCAATTATGTGACCAACAAAATATGTACATTGATATTTCCACTGAGTTTAATGAGTTAAGGTTATAAAACTAATATGGAAAAGGGAATATTTTGTTCATATTTAAAATAGTAAGAAATTCTTTTGTATTTATCATTTAAAGAAGGAAGTCTAAATTTCTTATAAAATTATAACATGTTTATATAGAATTTCAGGCACCATTATATGAGTTTCATATATTTACCTATATATCACATTATAGGTGAAAAACACTTAGACAAACTATGAGATAAAAATATTGATTAATACTTTTAACTGAGACTATATTAAGGTTTGGACAAACTATTAGACAAAAAGATTGGTTAATGTTTTTCTGAAAATATATTAAAATCTATTTATCAAGAGATGAACTTGCTTTTTGTTTAACAGTGGGTGCTCCAGAGAAACACTTAAAATTGTGGCTCTTCTACCTAATAGTTATGTGCCTTGCTTTAAGTTATTAGGTTTTAAGAGAAATAGATGAATTAATATGTATAAAGCATTTACAAGAGTGACTAGCATATAAGCATTCAGTAAAATTTAGCTATTATTACCCTTATTATAGCAACAATAATAGTACAAGTACTTCATCTATCATCCTTAATATTTTACTATCTTAACCTAACTGATATGTGAATCCCATCTTAAATTATTTTAAACTAGAAGATATCATGTCTAATTTTAGTTGCATAGACAAGATTTTAAACTTGTTTATTAAATTATAGGATTGTTTTTAACATTCTTATGGTTTTGATTATATAAATATCACCTCAATTTTTCTAAGCAGGCAAAATGTAATGTAAATACAACAGTTCTGTTTTTATGAGTTTCAATAATCTTTGTACTTTTATGAGTTTCAATAATCTGTGATTTAATGAATACATATGAGACTATGATCATGTCAAATTCAGGTCATTTTACTCAGTACAGTTTATTTTACTAATTTATAATTTCACTAAAATCAGATAACACTGACAGCTAATAGTAGGTATAACACTGGACATACTCTGTAAGATAAGGCCTTATTAAGAATATTTTCTATTCTCTTGACAAAAATATTTCTTTTTACTTTCAAGGATGTCTCGCATGGAGAGAGATATAACTATGAAAAGACATCTGATAGAGGATTTGAAATTTCGACAGAAAGTGAATTCAGAAAACCATGAGAGTTATAGTGAAATATTAGAAAATCTTGAAAAAAAGGTAAAACTTTTATGTTCATTGACAGTAGAAAATTACCTACTCTCTGTACTTTCTTAACTCAGATATCCAATGCTAATAAAATTATATGATACACAGTTATTAAAATACTATTTTCTCTAATGATACATTTTGTCTTAAAATTTAAGACTCTAAAGTCCCATATACAATATAGCCACAAATTGTTTTTATTTGTAGCTGCCCCATAAGAAGATACATTTAATTTTCAAAATCTTTATTATTTCTTTTGTATATGATTACATTTTGGTTAGTATTTTGTGTTACTTAAGGCTATAGTGTATAATACTAGAATCATGTTTATATACCAATAGAACTATTAACAACAATAACCATTAATTATTCTGTAAAAAGTGTCCTTTTTCTTCTACATATTTAATTCTTTATATGTGGAAAGAACATACATTTAATGTTGTAATGTTCACAAGTAGAAAGTTTTTGTTCATAAAATGAAAAGGTTAGCATTTGTTAAACTCATAAAGTAGCCTGTGTTTTGGCATTCACTAAAGTCTAACTATTAGCCCAAATGGATTTCAAGCAAAAAATTTGCATGAATTTAATGTAAATGATAGTACCTACCTATCAATCCTGTCAGTTTTTTTCAGTTTTATTCTTTAACATTTTCTAATTCTTTAACTTCTATAGTAATTTCAGAGATAGTTTTATAACTTTTGTATGTTGCATTTTATTGAAAATCTTTTCTATTCAAAATAATGAATAAATGCTATTATTTTAATGTACATATTTTTCATTTCTGTGGTTTTTATCATTAACTTGGCACTTGTTAGTTTCATTATGTGAGTTGATACTGTTATAATGCCTTTACCAATAAGTTACTTTTATAATTTTACTGTAGGTAAAGACATTAACTGAAGAATGTTCCAATAAGAAGATATCAATTGATTCATTAAAGCAAAGACTTAATGTTGCAGTCAAAGAGAAGTCACAGTATGAACAGATGTATCAGAAAACTAAAGAGGAGTTAGAAAAAAAGGTATATTTTTTAGACATGATCATCTAAAACATGGAATGTAACAATTTCTTTTCTGCTTTTGACATTGTTACTTTTTGTCCCCAAACTCTATGAGCTACTATAAAGTTTCACATAACCACAAGAAACATTACATTTTACAAGAAATGCCAAGAATTTGTATAAAAATTAGTTATACTAATAAGAATTAGCTATAGGGCTGGGAAGGTAGCTCAGTGGTAGAGTACTTGCCTTGCATGCATGAGGCCCTGGGTTCGATTCCTCAGCACCACATAAGCAAAAAGAAAAAAAGCTGGAAGTGGCGCTGTGGCTCAAGTGGTAGAGTGCTAGCCTTGAGCTTAATTGCTGAGGGACAGTGCCCAGGCCCAGAGTTCAGGCCCCACGACCGGACTCCCGCCCCCACCCCCCAAAAAGAATTAGTTATAGTGCTGTATTAGCAAAAATAAAAATAATTATTGTTTTTCTCCAAATAAAAATAAATACATATGTACAGCAATAAAACCCTTTCCCTGTCTTATAATTAACTCAGTTCTTCCAAATCTGTGCACACAGTTTTTTTAATATTATATTTACTGATTTCTTACAGGATCTCAAGCTTACTCTCCTAGCATCAAAAATAAATGAGACTGAATCTGCAATGGCAGAAATTGAGACAGCAGCATCTAAACAGCTGCAGGGATTAGCACTGCAAAGTGAGCAGGCCCTAGAAGGTGCACAGAAGAAATTGCTGCTAGCCAATGAGAAAGTGAAAGAGTTTACCATATTTGTGAAGGTATGAATTAAATGTGACTTACTTTACTTGCACTTTACTTCATACAGAATATGCTACAGTCTGCTTTAGATGATTTATTTCTGTCTTCCTCACTCTCAGGATAGTTCCTCCTTCTCTCTGGGTCATAACATTCAAAATTCTCTATAAAATATTTTTATAGTTTGAATTTTAAGATTGCCTTCACTATTACTATGTATCTTGTAATATCATCTTAATAACTATAATAGTCAAACAGTAGATATAGATTTGAGATTAAATGATTGAGTTATTTTCACTCTGTCCTCATTTTGAAAATCACCCAAGTAATAAGAACAAATAGAACTTGTTCAGTAAAGCCCAAAGACATTTGAAGTCCAGTCTAAAATCTGTTAAGACATAGACTATATATAGGAGTGAGAAATTGTTAACAAGATAAAGAGAAGATTGATGAAATACCTGTAGATTAGGAATGGCAAAAGTATGTCATCTAGAACTTAACTAAAAAAGCAACCCTAGAAAGGCATAGAAATTGGGTACACAGAACCAGCAAAGCTGTGAATGCTAGAGGAAAGGCAGATATGTACTTTGCTGTTGATTTGCAGTTTCACCCCATATTGCCAGCAATAATTTTCCCTTAGGCCTCTGGAGAAGCTGAGGAGAAAAGGCTTTAGATTTAAAGGTACTAAGGATTAGAGTCCTTGATCTTTCTGTACCTTTTGGTTCCACTGCAATTTGCTTATTCTGGTTAATACCTTTTATTCTTCTGTGTAATATAGTTGGTAAGTATTTTTATTTCCACTAGATAGATCATGTTGAGGTCCTTATAAACTAGGACAATATTTTATTAATCCTTAACTCCACAGTATATACCATAGTGTCTTACAAAGGAAAGGCACAAAATTATGATCTCTAATTAAAATTTTCATTGAGTGTGAAAGTTTAGTGGCAGTTTTCTTGGCCTCTATAAGAAAGAACTAAGACATTTTATAGTGGGAAAGCTACTCCTTTATTTCTCCCTTTCCTCCCTCTTCCCCCATTTCATAGTATTCTCTTTTTTGCAGTCTGATGAGACTGATCTTTTTTAAATTCAATTTTTATTCTTATTATAAAATGGATAGACAAAGTGCTTACAGTTATATAAGTGAGGTAAAGGATATTTTTTTGAGCCGGGTGCTGGTGGCTCATGCCTGTAATCCTAGTTACTCAGGAGGCTGAGATCTGAGGATCGCGGTTCAAAGCCAGCCCGGGCAGGAGAGACCATGAGACTCCTATCTCCAATAAA